ATGAAAATTTGTGAATTGGCAAAGAAGTTTGATCTACCGGAATTGTCGGTCAGAACAATTATAAAAGGCAAAGAAAAAATTCTCGAAGCTGTGAAAAATGCTCAATCTTTAAATTCAAACATCATTCGTAAACGTCACAGTATTATCGCTGAGATGGAAACAATGTTAAAATTATTGCGTAATAATCAAGTAAATGTGAAAAATTGTATAATAATACAGGCCTAATTTGTTATACATATGTATTATCTAAGATTTTATTAAACATTTTTTCTAAATTATTGTTTTCTTTAGTCTCCGGCCCCAATTAAAAATTATTTGTATGTATTTATATGCGAAATTATACCCCGACTTACGCGAATTCGACTTATGCGGTTACCGCTCGGTCCCACCTATCGCGTAAGTTCAGGGTATTACTGTATATAAAAAGTTTATTTCATTCATACATATAAATAAGTGAATTATAGTCTGATGTAAGCTATTATAATTTCTTACTATTTGATGATTAAATGTAATCATTTTGCATTTAAAGAATATAGTTTTTAAGTTATGACAAATTTTTATATATAATAGCAACCTTACTATAAATTTTTCATTAGGAAATAATACAATCTCTGAATAATTGCATATTTCTTTCAAAAATAATAAATTTATATTAATAGTTATATAAGTGAATAGAAATAAGTGATGTTAATAGAAGTTTTTAAATAAGTTTTACAATAAGTATTTTAAATCTGAAATTATTTTCTTAATTTGTTTTAGATGGATACTGAATGCAAAATGTAAAGATACACATTGGGATGTTCCATGGACAAATGAAGATGATTCTAAACTACTTAGAGGAATCTATGAATATGGTATGGGTAGCTGGGAAGCAATAAAGATGGATCCTAATATTGGACTTGGAGATAAAGTAATTAGTTTAAACATATTATATTGTATACTTGTTTATTTTTGGTAAATATGTGATATGTGATATAAGATTTAAATTTTGAAAAGATTTTTATTAGCATCTATAAAAATTAAATTTTAAACTGTAATATGAATTTTACATATTTGTATAAGAGCATTTAATAAAATAAATTATGAAGGTTGAAAATTTAGAAAAACTATAAATTATTAATTCCAATATCTCATTTTACTTACAATCAATGCCAACAATTTTATTTTTTCTGTTGATATGATTTCTGTTAATCATTTGACTATGTTAGACAAATTATTAAATCTACAAACTATAATGTTTTGCTAAAAATTTTACATTAATATTGAATCATTAACACATCTGAATTTATATATTTACATTTCTATTCGTAATTAATTATTATAATAATAATATAATTATGGTTTATGAATATAAGTAACATAAAAAAAAATGATATTGAAGAAAAGTTATACAGTAGAGCGTCGATTATCCGAAAGAATTCCAGTAAGCAAATTTAAATTTTTGCTAGTGCTGTGGCACTGCAATCTTTGCCTATATCTTTGGCTACTCCAATATTTTTTTCGTTGATGTGTGCGTTTTAGCTTGCAGCACTGGCACTTTTGTGTGGTGTTTTTCTGAGGACTGTGTGTCATGCTGAATCGAACGTTTTTGATACTAGATTAACTTCTAAAGTATAATTTTTTTTGTTTTTATATTTTTCAATGTATTTATTTTGTTTGTAAAAAATAAATTAATAATTTTTAATGATACAATAGCCACGATTATTATTTTAAAAAGTTTACATTAGGCTTAACATCGACGAAAATTCAACGCAAAGCGACACACAATGGAAAAAAAATTTCAACACAGGATGGGTTAATATATTTTTTCGTACATAATCGGTTATCTGAAAAATAAGTTATCCGAACGACCAGTCTTTAATTGATTCGGATAAACAACTCTCTACTGTAATACATTTGATAGATTATATTTAAAACTTACATGTATTAAAACATCCCATGATAAAACTTAGAATATATTTGTAGCATTAATTTTAGTAATATAACATATTAAATTTTCGTTGATTAAATTATAGTGAATAATAATACGATTCTAAATTTTTCAGATATTACCTGATGGTGAACAAAAACCTCAATCTAAAAATCTACAGACTCGAGCTGATTATCTTTTAAAAGTTCTAAAAAGAATTGTAGATCAACAAAAAGCTGGAGAGGTAAATTTTAATGTTGTAGTGATTAAGTATAAATATATATATATATTTAAATATGTTTGCCAAATAACTTTTAATTTATTTGTATTCAAATAATTTATATTAAGAAATTTTCATAGAATTTCATTAGTTTGTTTTAAAATAACCACTTGTCAATAGTTTTTCATTTTTATCAGAAAATTTAATATTGAATTTATTTCATAGATAGTTATTCACTTTCAAATTCTGTTTGAGACCAAAATAGTTGATCTATACTAATATTATAAAGAGGTAATGTTTGTATGTAAGTTTGTATGCAGCAGGTAATCTCCGAAACTACTCGTCCGATTTCAAAAATTCTTTCACCAATATTAAGAATGGAACTTCAGGGTGGACATAGGCTGTATATTATTCCGTTAAACATTCATATAAATTACATGATATCATCTATGGTTAAGGCTTTAATGTCCAACAGATGGCACTATGAGTATGATGCCCTAAGTTTGGTTTTCTGTGAGGCATTATGCTTTTCTGTGAAAATGAACTAAAGCAGATCATCATCTATCTATTTATATAAATAAAAATGTAATGTTCATTTGTTCCTACCAATTCCTTTGAAATTTTGACACAGCGCTGCATTCGAATACACACGTGTTTTTATATAATATAGGTGTCGAAATTCAACCTCGCTGAAGGGAGATGGTTAGGATTAAGGCTTACGGTAAAGAACTCTGCTTCTATTTATACTATTTTAGATGCGGGTTTTTGCGTTTTTGATTGCATTTTAACAGGGTACATCGACAGAATGTACACTAAGAAGAAATTTTTCGAAAAATCCCCCCCCCCACGGGGGAAGTGTTATAAATTTATAATAGATACATTTTGAGCCACAACAATGCGTGGCGGGGTCTGCTAGTTATGAAATAAATTCAGATGTGATACTATATATATGAAGTTTTTTATTAATGATGATTATTATTACAAGATTACTGTTTAATGAATAAAAAATGCTTATTATTTTTTATTATGGTTTTCTAATGAAAGATGTTGAATTATCTTTAAACTAAGAAATATTTTTTTGTTTTTAATTTGGTATGTAACAAACTGTTTTCTCTGGAATCCTAAGGTTTTGCAAAAGACATTTATTATAAATTTTTATTTTCACTAAAAATATTGAAAAATAAAAATTTTCAAACTATGTTATTTAACTATAAGTCTTTATAATTTAGAATACAAAAACAGCATTTTTTATCATGTGTCTTTTGATAAAATCTTTAAAGAAATTACCTAGTGTTCCACAAAAATAATACTCAGACTTTGAGTGTCCTGTAGTTGTTAAAAGTTGTAAAACTATTGGTATAAACAGGGTTCCTACACACTTGGAAAATCAGGGATTTTCATTAATGGTCAGAAAAAGTCAGGGAATTTGTTTCCTTGGTTGCTTTGTTGATTTTGTTTGCTGACAGTATGGCTGACAAAGTGTAGCTGTCTGCAGGCAGCAAGAAGTATTTTGGTACAATGTAACTTATGAAAACTGGTGCAGAATATTTTCATGATCCAAAATTTTACCCAAACATACACAAAATTTCCCCAAAATTATAGCGCACAAAATATACAAGCATACAACAACAATTGTTATTTTTAAATTTTAAAATACTTTTAGATTTTAAAACTTCTACATTAATTATGCAGTATTATAAATTAGAGAGAAAAATCTAATACACTTAATAATTTAACGTTAGAGTTAAAATATTTCAAAATTTTTTTTATTATCTCTCACAATTTACACTTTCAATTTGAGGGAAGGTGTTAATGAACTGATGAAAAAAATGATAACAATGAACCAAAAATGTTAAATAACTTAATATTAATTCAAATGATATTATTTATCATTTTATTTTAATAATTTTGATCATGTAACAAAACAATTTTATAAAGTTTGGGAATTTATTAAGGGACAAATTTATACTTTTATACATGGATTACACAGACAAAAAAGTCTGTGTAATCCATGTATAAAAGTATAAATTAATAATAAATAATGGCTTTGTTTTTTTTTTCTTTTCAAAGCCATGAAGTTTTACAGTTATTAGTTAATAACGGGATAAATTATTTTTGTTTAATAAAACATTTTAGTATTATGTAGTAGTATGACACACCATAATTCTATCTTTCTTATTTTATTTTTAATTTTGCTAATTCATTGATTATAAAAAGTTAATTAGAAAAAGTAACCAGTTAAAAAGTTGGAGAAGCAATAGTGTATGTGTGGAATAAGTCAAGTGATGTTTTATGTTGTTAATATGTCATACTGTAAGAGATGTGAAGGTCTGGGAATTTGTACGAAGTTGGTCAGGAAAAGTTGTGGAATTTAAAACAAAAATTTGAGTAGCAATCTTGTATATAATAGAAATATTAATTAAATATGTTTAGACTCATTGCGATAAACATTTAAATAATGTTTTTTTTATAAATTTGATTGCATAATCTGTTGACAGAATCATTGTATTTTTGATTTTTTTTTTAATTGAATCATTTTGAAAGCTAAAATGATCAATATTTTAGATAAAGTATTACTTTATAAATTATGTTATTGTTTTATTTATTATTTTGAGTCACTTTGTGCCATTCATATATGTAACATTAATCTAAATGTTTTAAAATAGCATAAAATTAATTTAGAAGAAGGGAAGTAAATATCACATTCAGATGTTTATATAATATAGAATGATTTATTATGATATTTCATATAAATGCGCTGAAAGAATTTTTAAAAAAATATAAATAACACCATACAGTAAAACTTGTCTAAATGGAACCTGAATAAAACAGAGACCTGCCAAAAACATCTTAATTAAATGTTAGTTGAACAGAAAACAAAAGTCAAAATGGAAGAAATTATTTGGAAGAATTTCTTCCATTTTGACTTTTGTTTTCTGTTTAAGTAACATTTAATTAAGATGCTTCATGGAACAACATTAGCACTAGATGAAATCATCAAAATTCATATCTTAGATGTTCTGGAAAGTCATTAAGGTATGTAGCAGCTGCAATAAACAGCTGTACAAAATGTTTTAACAAAAAAAGAAAATTATGGACAAATGAGATGTCCAGGAATAGATGCTAAACTGACATCATGGAACAAAAGACAGGTTTTCAAGCTGTTAACAGATGATGGAATATCTACAAGACAAATTGCAGCACAGATCCCTATCCAAGTATCTCATGTAACTGTGTGGAAATGCACAAAAGAAAATAAGAATGTTAAAATATTTAAAGATGAAATCAAAGCCAAAATTAATACTTAAGCATAAAAAAGCTAGAAAAGATTGGGCTAATAAAAATGTCATGGTCATTTTGATGGAGAGAAGTTGTTTTTATATATATATAGATGAAAATAAGTGGAATTTAAGTGGGCAAATGGATTGTCATATTATTAGCACAATCTGCAGAAAGAAGGAAAACCTCAAATGAATAGGCAACATGCTGGAGGATCTTTGATGGTGTGGACAGCATTTGGCTGGAATGGCAAAATAGACAATGTAATTATAGATGGAAATATGAATTCTCAAAAATACCAGGAACAACTATACAATAACCTTAACACATTTGGATCAATTATAGGAGGAAGCAATTGGAAATTTCAGCAGGATAATGTTCCAATTTACAACTCAAAATCAACAAAACAATGGTTTTTAAAGTTAAAAAAAATCAGTGTGATTGATTGGATCTCTAGAAGTCAACATAAATCCAATAGAAAATTTGTGGGACATCTTAACCAGAACAGTCTATAAAGAAAACAGGCAATATCAAATAGTAAATGAACTTAAGATTGTAATAATGGATGCCTGGGACTCAATCATACTTCAACAATTACAAAAACTTATCGATTCAATGCCAAATAGGGTGTTTAGTCTTATTGAAGCTAAATTTATTATTATTAAAATCACTTTAAATAAAAATTTTAACTAATGTACAGGTAACCCCCATCTAACACGGCACTTCTATAGCACAGATTCACTCTAACACAGTTCGAGAATTGGGTAAAACCCTCGTGCAATCAAAATGTAATAAATTTTCACATACTTAAGTACTAATAGTTCACAAAAATTATTATTTTCGTGAACTATTAGTACTTAAGTATGTAGATTTTCTTTTCCGCCTTCTGGTCAATACACGTAATCCTTCTCGAAACTTGTTTCAGTGTTGCTAGATCTCAACGCTTCTAATTTTGTGTTGCCAGATGTTTTCCCTTATTCCATAAGTGCTTTATTCTTCATAAGTGCTTAGCACCATATAAGGAAATTTATAAAGATCTTTTAACTAAAAAACAAGCAATCTAAATTAACATATTTTTTGCAAAAGGTAGAGCATGGATCTGAAGATAATGCAGAAAAATGCTCAGAGGATAAGGATATCTTGTCAAAAAGAAAACGCCCTCGGTTAATAGTGCTTAGTGATGATGAAGAAAACATTTAATTTATATTAATATGTATCGCGTAAGAAAATTTTAATAAAGATATTTATCTTAATTTTGAAAATATAATAGCATGTTTTTTTAATTTTTGGAACCTAACCCCCCCTTTTCTTACTAGTTCTTTGTTTCGTATAACACAGATTTGCATAACATGGCAATTTTTTGGAACATAACTCCCGTGTTATACTGGGATTACCTGTACTTTTGAATCTTTTACTGTTAAGAAATTAGAATTTTAGAATTTTATCTTAATTTTGCCAATTATCATTTTATATTGCTAAAAGTTTGTGTAGTATCATTGAATTGTCTGTAATTAATGATTTTTCAAGTTTGATTTTGAAAACGTTAACAATTTTTTTTTATACTCCAAAAAATTATTTGTACTTATAATTAATTAACAGATTAAATAATTTTAAATATTCATTAAATCTTGCTTTTAAGTAAACCTGATATATTAATTATTTTCTTTATTTCATTTTAGGAAAGACCAAAGAAAAATAGGAAAAGACGTATAGAAAAAATTCATCTGAGTAAACCTTTTGTTGAAATGGATGATAGTAATGATAGTCATTCTGGATCATCTGTGGTAAGAAACATGTGTTTTAATTTCATAATATAGTAATTGTAATAAATATATTATGAATTATTCTGTTGTAAAATACACTAATAAACTAATAGGAATTTGATTGTTCTGATTTATGACTAATGTAAAATAACAAATAGGATTTAGGATTTATCAACTAAACTTTAATAATAGTATTTGCATTTGTAAATTTAAATTAATCTTAAATAATTAATATAATTAATTAGTGACATTACAAAAATATAACTAGTTTTTATGTAGATTCATTCTTTATTTTTCAAGTTTTTAAATATTTATACAGAATAATTTTTAAATGGCATTCCTTCATGATTAAGATAATACTTTAGTTTTCACACAAAAATAAAACATTAATTACTTGTCAGTTTTAGAAAAAGAAAAAAAATTCTAACTTATGCAGCCTAAAAATAGTCTGTTGATTTAATTCAGTGGCATTGTTGTTTATTTTTATTATTAACATTAATTTTCTTTTTATGATTTTATTTACAATTTTTAGAAAAACTGAATGAAAATTACAAAAATATTTGTGATTTTTCTAATTTTTAAAAGATTATAAAATATTTTTATAAAGAAATAATAAAATTTATTAATTTATTAATNTGATTTGTATTTAAACATACAACCTTTCATAAAGTTCTTAGATAATCAAAGGTCACCTGCAAGAAATTTTTTTATAAATAGGAAAAACTGTCAGAAATAATTTTCACAACAGTAAATATTTTGAAAGATCAAACATAATTCTTACTTGATTCTTAAAAACAAGTATTTTAACTTTTAGTTTTAAATATTCTATTTATTGGTTAAGTAAATAGGTCATATAATAAACAATACATTTATAACTTCTTTAAAATAAAATTTTAAATTTTTGGATTAACTTAAAAAATTTATTTTGTAGATTCCTACAAAAGAAATGAAAAACAAGAATAGAACAAAAGCAGAGAAATATAAAACTGAAAGTAAATTAAAAGTTGAAGAAGAAATAAGTCCAATCTCCATTAAGGAATCAGATTCAAAAGCCATGAAAAGAAAAAGGAAGAGTGATAAATCAGGACGTAAAAATACCAAAGAAAAACATAAAAAGGTTTGTGATATTTTTCATATTATATATATATAGCTTGCACAATACTGAAATTGATGAAAATATTAAATGGTATAGTTCAATAATTTAATATTTTCATCAAATTCAGTATTGTGCAAGTTTACTTTTTGTAACTGTATTGAAAATAATTTTTTTATTCAATAACGTACTTCCTTAACCTGTTGTCGCACGCATGCACAGTCAAATAGAAATTGCATACCCACCGTCAATCTGGCACCAATTAAAAAAAATTAATTAATAAAAATTTAGTGTCAAAAAGTAGACAAAAAGTTACTTTACTCCAGTTTTATAATATGTTTGTAAATTCAGTCAAAAAATTTTAATGAAATTAAAATTTATTGAAGATTTTAATTTTTTAATATTAGAAGGTAATTAGCATAATCACAAGGTGTCATGTTTCATCTTTGCTCCTATTCAAGTTTATTGTCCTAGATACTGCCAATGTTTATTTTTACTTCTACTGATGTTTAGGGTTTTATTTCAACTTTGTCTTATTTGGTTACAGAAGGTGGGGGAGAGGTGTCACGTGATTGCTTACCTCACTTTTTACCACAGAAATTTCCTTACCTTGAAAGCTTTATTTTTTCTCGATTTTAATTATTATTAACTATTAATTTTTTTTTAATGGATTCTCATGTTTATGTGACCTTAGGGTCAGTGTCTCTTTGACACCAAGTCAGGATGTGACATCACCGAGTCTCACAGGACTCGGAAATCGTGACTTTGCATCACGCGAGTGGTAGCGGGTGAGTGGTTGGATTCAGAGTAGAGGTGAGGAGAGAGACGAGGAAGTGACTCACTCGGACTCCATAGTAACAAATAAATAACAATTTTAATTATAACAAATGAAAATACAGATATATTCGATTTCTGGCATAGCCCCTAATTATACTAGACCGTTCGAGAGAGAGAGTTTACAAACGAATTGCGGGTTGATAAATACCTTTCATTTGGGTCGAAGATCTGTGGTTAGATGACACTGTTGACGCCAATGGAATGTTCGATAGAATGATTCCGGATCTTGTTCGTTAGCAGGAGCCTGGAGGTGTGGAGGCACGGAAGTCAGGATGATATCCTTAAAGAGGCACGGAATTAATCCTGGAGTCTTGGTCTCAGTATAAATCCTGGAGGACGACTTTGGTGGACGTACATTGGAAGACGACTGACCTCTGGTGTTTTTTCCATTTTCTCTTGTTATTCCTCTTGGGTTTTTTCCATGAGGTCAGGTGGTTGTTGTTAAGGGTTTGGCGTCCAATATGGGCCCTCTATCGAAAGTTCCGGGTGACACATCGCTGACTAGCTGGATTTTCCTCAACAAGGAACCAACTCCATGGGAAATAAATTTTTATGGCTTTTAGCCTAACGCTCAAATTTAGATGATGGAATGTTTCAATAATTAAAATTTAAAATAATACTTTATTGTGGGTCTGTTCGTCCCTCACATCTATGTGTTATCTGAAGTTTAAGATATTTTTTTATTAAGTTTTATGCATTTATGTTTTTATTCTTCGATTTTTATATATAAAATATAATAAAATTCAAAAATTGGAAATGCTAAACTATAAGTGCAGTGTGTTTTACAATATTATTGCAAACAGATAGAGTAAATTATTTAATTTGATGTAACGCAGGGCTTCTTGAACTTTTTTTATTCGCAACCCCCCAAAAAAAATATATATATATCTTTATTTTATATATATATAAAATAAAGATATATACAAATTTGCAAAAACAATAATGGTGTACTTCCACAGTTTACTCTTGTGTTACAATGGAACAGAGACAACTGAATACACTGAAAAGCGACAAACTACACTAGTTCACACTACACTTAGTGTTGCTGAATCGTTGTCACACTGCACCAGAAATGACACAAAACGTGCCATTTTCAAACTCTCACAAATTATTTTTAATATTTTGCATTAAAATCTCACAACCCCAAGATTTCACTAAACGACCCCAAACGGGGTCACAATCCATAGTTTAAGAAGCCCTGATGTAACTGTGAACCACCGGGGAGGGAGTAGGTCTACCGATTTGACAACAGGTTGTTAAACCTTCTCACTGTCAGGATGGATGGAAGGTATTCTTTTTCCCGCTGTAACGGGCTTTAATGTTTCGGGTCGAGTGGCGGAGGGAGGAGTGCATCAGCAAGATGACAGGCGATATACGAGTAAACGAGGAGACAGAATTTAACAAAAAAAAAACAACGATTTATTAGCTACATATATATTACAATAACTACGGTCAAGGAAAAAATATAGGAGTCCCTAAAACGCGAAGGGCCGAGAGAGAGTTCACAAAAACTTTTTCCATATCTCTTGATGGTTTCCCTTATCCGGTAGGAAAATCGATTTGGATATCCAGGTGAACTGAATTCTTAGGACACAATTTTAAAAGTTTTAGGATATATTAGTCCATAGGAAATTTCGAGGAAACCTTTGTTTGGCGGCTGATGAACGACTCCCCCGAGAAGGGGAAGGAAGGGGTTTTTATAAGTTCGTCATGGGAGAATGGTCACGTGATGGCTTGTTGTGAGGTAAAAGGTATGCGGATGGGTCGAAGTTGTTCCCGGGACCATGCTAACTATCAACTTTGGAGTTGGAATGTGGGATTAGTTTCGAAATGGGCGGATGTTTACTTCAAACGAAAGGGGAGATTGGAATTTTTCCCCTTTTTTCCATTAGATTTTCAATTAGTTTTAAAGGAAAATTAAATTGGAGGGTTAGGAAACTGCGGAACATGAATCGGAAAATTCGGTAAAAATTCCGCATTTCACATAACACAAGACGCTCAAAATTGATTGCACATTAATCAGTATGGTGGCAGGACTCGATTCAATTACTTTTTCATTTAAGACATTCAACAAAGTGTGTTATTTTAATGCAATTTTTATATTTTTACTGATATGTATATAAATGCTCGACTATGATTATATTTTAGATTTCTACATTTTCTATACTGTCTAAAAGTATAAAATACTTGTGGGATTAAAAACAAATTTTCATTTATATTTTCTGAAATTTGATCTGGAAATGCAAAAACTAAACTTATCAAATATCAACTCACTATAAATAATTTCAACTTTGTCTTATTGATATCAGATTTGTTAAATTTCATGGGATTGTATTATTTTTCAAATTCAGAGTAGTAAAGCTTTGTTTATTTTCTCCTGTGAAAGTAATAGACTCTGCCAGTCCCCCACTGTGAACTACAATAAATAAATTGCTAATTTTTTTATTACTTTGTTTTCAAAAATTCTCTTCTTTATCAGTAATTGGTTGAACAACTAACAAATTGTTTTGTTTCAGATTTGACAACTAGTATTGCCAGTAATGAATTCTATATATTTAATAATTTAAGAAATATTTATAAAATTACCAAATAAATGTTTATTCACAATTACTAAATGATATTGCTACATTATGAACATGAATTTTAACTGTTGCAAAATTGAAAGTATTAGATTTCTTATCATAAAACTGATCGCGAGACAGCAGGGCAATAACACTGAAGCAAGAAAATCGCATTATCAAAAAAGCTGCAACGACTTATTTGAAATGTATGGTATTGGTCCTATCATTGAAACCAGGAGAAAAAGATATAATGTATAGCATTGTGGTAAAGGTTAAATATTCTACATAATTATTTTATTAAATCGCAATTGTTGCACATAACAATTGCTTCAGTACAGCACACTCACACTACAAGAGAATTTACTGCAGGTGGTGAAAAGGTATTGGTTTTCATAAAATTTCTCTGCAAGAAATGTCATAAACTTGAAAATTACTGTGGGAATTGCTTCAGAACATATCAGATGAGAAATACTAAAAAACTAACACTTCAACTGTTTTATTTTTAAGAAATTCAATAAAAAACCGTTATGTATCTGCTGGATACATACATTCCTAGATGCAGTTAATAAATGAAAATTCTTTAATTTATATATTACAGCTGCTCACATTTTTANTATAATTAGAAAATTAATTATTATTTTCATTTTTTAATTATATTTAGTTTTCTATGGATATTTGTATCAAAATTTACGGAATTTGATGCAAAAGAACTCTATAAGTCATATAAACATGCTGTTTTCATTTTTTAATTATATTTAGTTTTCTATGGATATTTGTATCAAAATTTACGGAACTTGATGCAAAAGAACTCTACAAGTCATATAAACACGCTGTTAAGAAAGATGAAGGAGAACATGATGAAGAAGAAGGAGAAAGATGAAGGAAAAGAAAAAGATAATGACAAAAATAAAGATAGAGAAAGTGAAAAAATCAAAACTTGTGATGAGGTATTTGTTATTTTTTTATTGTTTATATGTTTTNTTAATATTAATTTACAGTCCAGCCAACATAGTGTACATAGCCAAGTGTCTCCACATCCTAGTAAGTCTGAGAAATCAAGTCAGCCTCATACTGGATTCAATTCTAAATGGCCGACTGAAAATGATAAATCAGAGAAAAGTGAAAGATCAACATCAGGGAAAAGGACAGAAAGTGAAAAAAGTCGTAATGAAAGAAATCGTGATAGGTCAGATAGAGAGAAGAGAGACAGGTTTGTACTTCAAAAAATATTTTTTTATAAAATTAATAAATGCAGTATTTTATTACATATATACTATTCATATTATAAAAAAACAGTCAAGTTTTTACTAGTTTCTATTTAGGCTTATATAGAAATTATTTTACCACTTATTAATTTTTCTGTTTTAATCCAAATACATTAACACTTTAACAACTCAAGGTTGTTACACATAAAAATTTGTCATAATTTAAAAATTGTGTAATTTAAATGTAAAATAATCACATTAAATCATCAAATAGTAAGAAATTATAACAAATAGCTTACATCATACTATAATCACTTATTTATATGTATGAATGAAATAAACTTTTTATATACAGTCGCCTCAGTTTTCAAATTTAATTTGTTCCTAAAAATCGTTTGGAAATCGTTTCATTCTCAAACCAAAACAAATTTTCCCATAAGAAACAATATAAAATGGATTAATCCATTCCTGACCCCCAAAACAAAGCCCTTTTTTTAAACTCTATTTCATGCATAAAAATGCCTACAAATGCAATATAATATTATCTGTATCTATATACATTATATATATGTATATTAAAAGCAAAATGTTCTGTCACCACCAACTGAAACTGAAACCATCACTTTATAAAAAAGTGCTATAAATAGAGACTTCAGTCTGCTTGAATGAAATACAACCAAATCTGTCAAGACAAACAAGTATTTTATACACTTTCCAAATTATTGTGTTTCAATTGATTTGATTTTAATTTTGGTGTAAGGCCAGCTTTAATTATTATTTTGTTATTTTGAGTTTAATTAACTGGCTACCTAGTATTATAATATATATATTATATTATATTAGTAAATATTTGTAATTTAATTTAACTTAAGCATATTTAAACAAAAATTTTTAAATGCCATTTATATTACATGAATGTCAATTAATGTGGTTTTTATTAATTAATTTGATTTAAATTCAACTATGGCACATACTGAAAAACTGAAATAGTATTTTTCCTGTATGTTCATTGAAATGTAATTTAAACAAAAACAACATTGATGATTCATATTGTGACACAAGGTGATCTCAACATCTCTAACTTTTGAACCAGTAGTCGCATCATTGATTGGATGGGTCATCAACTTTCTTTAACATTGGAAATACAGGAAATTGACCATTGGTGGCCAAGTAGTTTGTTCAGGAACCAGGTTATTGTGTGCAACTGGGGCAAAAATTTGTTTGTAAACCAAATTGTTCAAAAGGACAGGAGGCCCAGATTAACTATATACAAACTTTTGGTTTGAACTGAAAGTCATTATGAATTCAAAAATTTTCTGCTGAATAGAGTTAGTTAGATGATTGGCACAGCTATTACTAATAAGAAGAGTATGATATATAGAGGCAAGACATTATTAAAAAAAAAATTGAGAAAATTGTGATGAAAAATTGCAGTGCGGCATTGTGACAATTCACAATAAATAATTGCTTGTTTGGATTTAAATTACTAGTATTTGTCCAAAATATTTTAAATAATGTTATTTCATTAATGCTTGATTTAAATATTCATGAATCACAATTTTCTTTTTTGTTTCTNTAAAATCTGATAAACAACTATTAAATATATATATAATTCATATATTACATTTTTATAAAGTATCAATTAGTAATAAATTTTTGATTGCTCCAGACTTCAAACTGCTCTTGGGGAAATGATGACAGAAATTTCTCCATGAATTTTCTGCCACGTGTTGTTTTTCCCTATTTATCAAATTTATTTTGTATCTCTATTCATCTATTATTGGGTGAGTTTTAATTAAGAGTAGTAAAACAGTTTGCTCTTTTTCTGAAAAATTTTTTGCAAACTTTACTACACATCATTCATATTTTCTGATGTCATCACAAGAATGTCAATTAATTAAAAATTTCAAAATTGCAGGGAAAAGCAACTTTAAATGTAACAATACCCGTTAACCCTTTGCCACTGCCATCTTGTTTACATTAATTTTGTAAACTGTCCAAAGGCAATATAGGTCAGTCAGGCGATATTATTTTAAAAATTCACCAAAAATCAAATTATTATTATATTCATATGAAAAAAATTACATACATTTATTAATATCTTTTGTTTTAAATGTGATATTTTTCAATACATTTTATTAGAGAAATTTATAAGAAAAAAATTGCCAATAAAAAAAATAAAATGTCAGAACTGAACGGCATAACTTGAGTATTTATAACACATTGACATATTATAGCTAAATAAACTTATTATAGTGATATTATTTCATGAATATGCTAAAAATGAAATAAAAAATTATCAGAAAAAATAAATTAAGAAAAAACCATTAATTAAAATTTTTTAACCCTAGATAACTAAACTTTAATTTTAGTTACATTATAACTACACATTCATCGAGTGGACTACGCATTAAAACACGTTAATATCAACAAAATTGTTTAATAAAAATAGGAACTTGTTACATGGCATAATATTGATAGTATGGTTAAATAGGAACTAAATAAGGACAAAATATTTAGGAAATAAGATTACATGCAGTTGCTACATATGTTAACATTATGGAGGCCGCAAAACGCATTTTTGCATTTAATGCAACAGTGTTTTGTCATTCGTCAAGCTTTCGATAGACATAAATAGTATATATTACGCGGATTCGATACAGAATGACTAGGAGCTTCTACACTGGGCACATCACCTAGAATATCCTGTATCATGGTTCTGAGATCATGCCTCAAAGGCACTATCTGTAACCGCTGTTGTAGCTGGGGCTCCATGAGTTTGTTTCTCATCTTCGTAAAGAAATCTTACCGGGACATCGCAGTTTTTTTTTCTAACGTTATTAGAGACATAGATAGCATAGCTGTTGATTGCTAATAGGTTTAGCATATTATAAAATATGCATGGTGGCCACCTTTTGGGTTTGACTCATATTTGAACACATTTGATTTACTGTGTCTACCGCAACCTTTGTACTATTATAAAAATGTATTATTTGTGGTTTTCCTGTATTTTCATCAATGTTAAGTTGACCATGAATAGTCGACAAAGCATAAATAACTTTATTTGACTTGGCTTTGTACGAAAGTAATGTCTTATTGCCGTCATAACAAAACATTGAAGTACCAACAGCGCGTGATTTAGAATTTTTTAATTTTTCAGGAATTTCTCTTTTGTTACTTCTAAGAATGCCAGCTAAGGTCAAATTATAAGGTGACTTCAATAGTTCATCTGTCAAAGATACAGATGTGTACCTGTTATCCATAGTAGTGTTATAGTTTGTTTCATGTAAAATAGATGTTATTTCCTTTATGAAAAACGTAGCCAATATTTGTTTCTGAGGATCAGTACCTTTTCCCAAATAGGGAATGGCATTTATCACGTACTAACTGTTTACATCTGCAGCCATAACAATGTACATAATGTACATGACTTTGCAACAAAGTTACAGTAGAGCATCGATTATCCAACTCAATTGGGGACTCAGGTTGGTCGGATAACTGAAAAAATCAGATAACCGAAAATAATGAAAAAAATACATTATTACTATAGTATATTATATATTAGTATATCCCATGTAATTAGTATATTAGTATATCACTATTAACCAACTTCGCGTTGAATTTTCATAGTTGTTAAGCCTAACAAATTTTTTTTTAAAGTAATAATCGTCGCTATTGTATCATTAAAAATTCTTTTAAAATTATTTTATTGCTCACAAAACAAACAACCACTCATAATTAGAAAATTAAGTCTCGTTTAAATGCTGGCCACCCTTCAATAGTCGAGTCGTGTTGCCAGCTAAGACACGCAAAAATTTAACAAAAATAATATTAAAGTAGCCAAGACATAGCCAAATATTGTAACCCCACATCACTAGCGGACATTTGAAATTTGCTGACTAGAACGGTCGGTTAACTGAAGTGACGATTAATTAGGGGTCAGATAATCGATGCTCTACTGTACATAGTAACTAAACTTTCGTCGAGCAGACTACAAGATAACCATAAGTCAATTTCTAATTGATGTGTGAACACAGTTACATCACACACGGCACTGTTTATTCAAATTATTAAGGCAGAAAAAGAATGACCGGCAGGAAGCACGGGAAAGTTTCTGAATTTCACTTTTGAGCGGAGGTGTGTTGTCGTGTGGACGAATGATTAGTTATCAAAGCACCACCTGGAGAAAAATATGTAAAACAGACAATAGACAAAATGGTGCCATCAAGTGCTGACATCTGTTGTCACAATAAATTTTATAAAAACCGATTTTTACTAGGGTGACGATGAATTGGTACCCTCAAAGTTTTGCTTGANTTTATGCCGTTGAAATAGATAAATAATAAAAAAAATTAAAACATTTTGTCGGTTTTGTTTACACGTTTATTGGGCCGCATTGGAACTTGCCTTGGGCCACATGCGGCCGGCGGGCCGCGGGTTGGACACCCCTGCTATAGAGGTATTGTGTACAGTACATCATTTTATTGTTACAGTATATTGTGTACAATATATCGTTGTACCGTTACAGAATATTATATATTGTAACATTATATCGTTATGTACAGTATCGTTACATTGTTAATATATTGTAATTATTGTCATTTACAGAAAGTTGTGCTACAGTTGACATTACAACTATAATTATTACTGGATAAAAAGCAATGAAAGCGTTATTCAAAAAGTTAATTAAAAAAAATCAAAGCTAATTTAAACAATTTCCTAAATAAATATTTTAAGTATAATTAATGAATTTTAAAATTTATCTTAAACAATTAATTTGATTTAAAATATTAATAATTTCAGAGCTGAATGGGACACTGATACAGTATTCAAAAAGAAAATAATTTAATATAATTTAAATTAATTTACATGAAATTTTATTATACAAATACAAAAAAAATGTTATAAATTAAAAATTCAATAATACTGTGATTTTTTTAAAAATTAGAAAAATCCTTGATCAATATTGAATCAGATCGATCCTGATTGTAAATTATTTTTAATATAATGTGTATATATTTAATTATAATTAACAAATAAATAAACTAACGATAATGATTACAATTATAACAATCGATTATCAATTATTAAATTATTTTTTTAAAGACTAATCACGTTAATAACTTTGTAATCTCGGACGTTACGAATAATAATAATTTCGATTTTAAGAAATTGAATTTAATTAATCCGGATTTAGGTGAAAGTTTTTAATTAAAAAGTTTGAAAAATCAAAAGATTTTAATTGAAATTTTAATTAAATCTATTTGATTTAAAGAAAATTCCCTCCTTCCCTATCTTCCCTTTTACCTCGTGCAAAAGATATTTTCGTAGATGATCAAATTATTTAAATAAATTGTTTAAAAAATAACATATATATATGAAAATATAGATCGCAAAATGGCGATCGATTGATCAATACTTCAGATCGATACGATTTTTTTTTCACTCTTTTAAATATAATTTGATGTATCTTAATTGAGTTGGTTTCATCAGTTTCAAACGTATCTATACAATAGGTATCTTATCTGTTATGTATCGATTTTAAATAATTAAAATTTCGATATCGATTAATCGATCGTGCTGATCGTTTCGATAATCTTCCATTTTTAAATTTAGTTTATTGGTAAATTTTCGGAATTTTTTCTTTTAGTGAATCAAGTCTTTTAATATAAACTAGTCGATTCTAATCGATCCTGATCGAACCAGGTAAATTCGTCCGATTGGCTATGGCATGAATTAATCATTGGTAACATTTTTCGGGTTTTATTTCATTAAATTAAGCCATTTGAACATATACTGATCGATTCTGATTGATCTTGATCAATCTCTGACGAGTTAATCTATTGTGTTTTCCATTCGGTAACATATCATTTTTAAATTTAGGTTATTAGTAAATTTCCTGAATTTCTTTTTAGTAAATTAAACTTTTTAATTTAAACTGAACGATCTGATCGATTCTGATCGATCTATTCGGAAACTTAGTTATAATGCGTAATTTGATGGATTTTAAGCTAACTTATAATTATTTCATGATGAATTGGGTGAAATTCAATGTTTTGAAACAAAAAATTACTCATATTTGCCCAGAGTTGCTGAATTTTCTCTAATAAATTAAGCTTATTATTTAATGAATATTGATCAATCATGAGTGATCCACTCATAAATTATCACTTATTTATGAAAAAGGATATGGTAATACCACATTTTTATGACAAATGACGTAGAGATCAAGGCATTCTAAAAGAAAAAGTTTGCAAATTTGGGCGGAGTCTCTTCATTAATAGCCACTTTAAGTGATCTTAATGCAATTATTAGCTTAATTACTGCTCTTATTAAATAAATTAATCAATCTGAATAAATGTGGAAAGTAATTATTATGTTTGAGCGGAGTAAATCCTTACGCTAGACTTAAATTTTATAGGCATGAGCCAATTTCTGTAATCTTCCAAAAATTGCATCGAGCCTAATGTTTAATTAGACGAAAAAAATTCATCTGAAACCAAAATTTTAATCAAAATTCACTTCTAATTTGTTTACGTAAGTATATTATTAACTGAAATTTAGTCAAATTGGACGGAGCAACATATCAATTTTAAAAAATGGTAAATATCACAAGGTTACATTTTTTATTCACTACGAAACTTTCCAAATAAAATAAAATATATTTTTAAAACAATTTCTATTTTTCATATTGGGCGGAGCAAGATATTTAATGGTGTAAAATTTGTAATATAGCAGTCTAATCGTTAATTAAATGATGTATTTGAAAAACTACACTCAATAATTCCGACTCTAAAGTTCCTGAATTGGGCGGAGCAGCGTATTTACCGAAACAAAATAAAATTATAAATTTACCAAACTTAAAAGTTATCACTAAAATTTTCTAAGTAGCATGCAATATATAATTTAAGCATTCCTAAACGGTTCAGATTGGGCGGAGCAAGTTCTTTAATAAATTAAAATTCGTAATTATAAAAAGCCAAATTCTTAATCGAGCGTTAAATTATGAGATTACAGTATAACCGATATGGTATTTTTACTCTAATATTTTTAAATTGGGCGGAGTAGGGTATTATTAATCACTGAAATCTCTGATTTTGATAAATTTTATATTTAAATTAGTGTAATAATTACATTAAATAATGCATAAAACAATAAAGTTGCTAAATTGGGCGGAGCAATTTAGCAACTCTATAGTTAAAATAATATTGCTTTGAAATTAAAATTCTTTTCGCCCAAATTATACGATTTTGTAAATCAACGTAATAATGATTTTAAATAGCTTAAGATATGAATTTGAGCGGAGCATTAATGTTTTAATTAACTTTAAAATTTAAAATTTACATTTAAACATTATTAAATAAATAAATAAATAAAAATCTCTCTCTGTGTCTCTGTCATTAAATATTTTATTGATAAAGAGATACTAAATCCAGTTATTATGGCTTTTACTTTTATAAAATTTTAAATATAATTAATTTATGAGTCAAAAATATGTATAAATATTAATGAAGGAATCGACTCTAATGAATAAAATCCCTTCCTTGGTTCATTATAATAATTCTAAATTATTATTAATTAGTTATTGTTTGTAACTGCGAACATCAATTTTATAAATGAAGTTTAATTGACCGAAACGAATGCCCGTATTGAGTTTAAAATATATTTATTTTAATTGCAAAATAGCATTATTCAAATTTCATCGATCCCGTGTTAGGCGGGTCTTACCTATTCACAATTGTATTATTACTACATTCCACCTCCCAACTGCGACCAACATCTCAGGAACATTTCTTTTTATCTAACAACCTCCAAACAATGGCCATCTCCAAATTTTTTACCTTTCCCTCACTGTCCGTTGTTCAGAGGTTTATTCGTATTATCATTACCTATTAGTAAATATTTGTAATTTAATTTAACTTAAGCATATTTAAACAAAAATTTTTAAATGCCATTTATATTACATGAATGTCAATTAATGTGGTTTTTATTAATTAATTTGATTTAAATTCAACTATGGCACATACTGAAAAACTGAAATAGTATTTTTCCTGTATGTTCATTGAAATGTAATTTAAACAAAAACAACATTGATGATTCATATTGTGACACAAGGTGATCTCAACATCTCTAACTTTTGAACCAGTAGTCGCATCATTGATTGGATGGGTCATCAACTTTCTTTAACATTGGAAATACAGGAAATTGACCATTGGTGGCCAAGTAGTTTGTTCAGGAACCAGGTTATTGTGTGCAACTGGGGCAAAAATTTGTTTGTAAACCAAATTGTTCAAAAGGACAGGAGGCCCAGATTAACTATATACAAACTTTTGGTTTGAACTGAAAGTCATTATGAATTCAAAAATTTTCTGCTGAATAGAGTTAGTTAGATGATTGGCACAGCTATTACTAATAAGAAGAGTATGATATATAGAGGCAAGACATTATTAAAAAAAAAATTGAGAAAATTGTGATGAAAAATTGCAGTGCGGCATTGTGACAATTCACAATAAATAATTGCTTGTTTGGATTTAAATTACTAGTATTTGTCCAAAATATTTTAAATAATGTTATTTCATTAATGCTTGATTTAAATATTCATGAATCACAATTTTTTTTTTTTTTTGTTTCTTCAATTATATTAAACAAAAATAAAAAATCTAGTATTAATATAATCAATCAGATTTTGTTAAGTTTAAAAATGAAATTGTTGGTACAAACAACTTTATATAAATCAACTTTTTGTTAAATTAATTTTTTAGCCATGCAGATAAAAGTAGTAATTATTCGAGAGAGAAAGGAAGTCCATTACAGAAAGGTACTCCTAATAGTTATATGTTATCATCATATCGAAATTACAACCAAGGTTCATCAAGTGGAATGGGTGATAGATGGATGCATGGCAATTCTTCACAATCATGGGATCATCATAAAGACAGGTAAGATAAGTCTAGTTGATGTATATATATTTAATTTAAAATAATTAAAGACTTATAATAAAAGTAGAAAAGTGTATTAACATTAAGATGCTGATACATCTTGTTTATTTAGTCAAAGTGACATCTTAATTATTAATTTATTGTGTTTTGGTTTACATTTTATATCTAACTAACTATAACATTTATATTAATTAATAAATGGTTGGCAGTGACAAATATTTGATATCTCATTTTGAAAAATAGTTTGTATAAAGAAAGTCTAAATGCCTTGTTCACAGTATTATTAATAATTTTTTAAAATACTGAGCTAAGTCTGGGATGTAGGTGGGATGGTGCAGAACATCCCATTTAAAATGTTTAAGCTGATATGAGAATGCACACTATTATAAGGGAGCATAACATTCTTAGACAAAATGCCATGCCACCTGTTTTGATTGGCCCACATAGCCTATCACATTGTCACCTTATGGTACAATCACAAAGTTCCAGAACATCTTGAAATATTCTGTTGTATGTTATAGTGAAGCAAGAAGTTCCTCCTATTGCTATTTAGGCACTTGTCCCACTAAAGACACCAGGTGCCTGATATCTTTCATATAGAATTTGTGTGGTGTTGACCTCTACTGACAAAACTTGCCTATTGTTACATCCTCCTTTTTTAACAAAACAAAGATGAAATGTTAGCCTACATGTTAAAATGTCTGATTTAAAGACAGTTATTAAAGCTAACAAGTTAAACCTTTAAGGTACTGACAGTTTTACTAAACCTGGTCTTGCCACCAGATTTGGCATCAAGTGTTTGATATCTTTCTCATAGAATTTATGTAATTACTATGAACCAATTGTATCAATGCTTCCTTAACCTTGTCATCCAATGTGAATTCTCATCACTTCAATGGTGTTTTTTATTGGGCCAAATACATGAAAATCATATAAGAAAGGACAGTAGGAAGAATGGAACTATGCTTCTCCACTACATTTCCTCAATAGATCCTCCACAGATTGTGCCATATAGGGTCATGCATTAACATGCAGGAGCATCACTCCATCAGTGAAGGACTGGACATTTTGATTTCATGTTCTGTGGGGCTTCAGGTGCCTCACAGTAACTTGCTGCATTGATGGTGGATCCTTCTGGAAGAAATTTGAAAGTTAGAAAAGAACATTGACATAACTTTTTGTGTATTTTGTTGAAAGACCTTTGGCTTTTTCTGTGTCTACTGATGGGTTGCATGCAGCAATGAAATCCTCACGTGTTTTTAAGTAATCATACCAAGTGTTCTGGATCTTTTGACTATACCATATAATACAATAGTTTATTACTTTTATATGGGCATTGTATTGTATATTAGTAATGTTTTGGATTTATATTAATATTAAAACAAATTATAATATTCCTCATTTAGAATAATGGCAGATAGGCTCCTAATAACATTTTTCTACAGAATGTCTAATTTTCAGGAATGGAGTATTGATGTTAAGCATGGAATGGCTGTATTATTAATTTTATAATTACAGTCTGTTTCAAAATTATAAACACACCCAACTTTTTTCAGTAACAAAAACATTAACAATTGTAATGTATTTGTTTAAATTGATATATTACTATAATATTTTCTGAAATTTTTAGAGCAACTTGACAATTACAAAAAAAATTATTGCAGATTTTCAATNTCTGTCAAAGATACAGATGTGTACCTGTTATCCATAGTAGTGTTATAGTTTGTTTCATGTAAAATAGATGTTATTTCCTTTATGAAAAACGTAGCCAATATTTGTTTCTGAGGATCAGTACCTTTTCCCAAATAGGGAATGGCATTTATCACGTACTAACTGTTTACATCTGCAGCCATAACAATGTACATAATGTACATGACTTTGCAACAAAGTTACAGTAGAGCATCGATTATCCAACTCAATTGGGGACTCAGGTTGGTCGGATAACTGAAAAAATCAGATAACCGAAAATAATGAAAAAAATACATTATTACTATAGTATATTATATATTAGTATATCCCATGTAATTAGTATATTAGTATATCACTATTAACCAACTTCGCGTTGAATTTTCATAGTTGTTAAGCCTAACAAATTTTTTTTTAAAGTAATAATCGTCGCTATTGTATCATTAAAAATTCTTTTAAAATTATTTTATTGCTCACAAAACAAACAACCACTCATAATTAGAAAATTAAGTCTCGTTTAAATGCTGGCCACCCTTCAATAGTCGAGCCGTGTTGCCAGCTAAGACACGCAAAAATTTAACAAAAATAATATTAAAGTAGCCAAGACATAGCCAAATATTGTAACCCCACATCACTAGCGGACATTTGAAATTTGCTGACTAGAACGGTCGGTTAACTGAAGTGACGATTAATTAGGGGTCAGATAATCGATGCTCTACTGTACATAGTAACTAAACTTTCGTCGAGCAGACTACAAGATAACCATAAGTCAATTTCTAATTGATGTGTGAACACAGTTACATCACACACGGCACTGTTTATTCAAATTATTAAGGCAGAAAAAGAATGACCGGCAGGAAGCACGGGAAAGTTTCTGAATTTCACTTTTGAGCGGAGGTGTGTTGTCGTGTGGACGAATGATTAGTTATCAAAGCACCACCTGGAGAAAAATATGTAAAACAGACAATAGACAAAATGGTGCCATCAAGTGCTGACATCTGTTGTCACAATAAATTTTATAAAAACCGATTTTTACTAGGGTGACGATGAATTGGTACCCTCAAAGTTTTGCTTGATAATGGGGGGTAACGATTGATTGGTATTTTCGGAGGCAAAGGGTTAATCCATTGCTGCTACTTGTTTCTGAAAAGCAATTTAGGTCACATGTTACAAGACCACAGTTTTAATCTTAGGCCTCTGATTAGTCAATTTTCATTTCTATAATCAGTTCATTGAATTCATAGTTTTTCATACCAATTAAAATGATGAAAACATTTTCAATATTCAGGAAAAGGTCTTTATTTTGAAAACTGTAAAATATTCTTTTTTCAAACAGTTATAACTATTATAACAAAATAAAGTTTGAATCCTCAAAAAGTTACATATTTAATCTTTATCGCTAATTATGAATGTTTTATATTCAATTGAAAAACTTTTTTAAATATAGGTATCCCTTGCTTAATGCAGGATTTGATTAATGTGCAAAATTAATTGTGGCAATTCCTTTATATA